AATTTTTTTTATTCTGAAAAAGAAAAGAACTTAAAACAAATAAGATGGTGATAAATCCACTGTGTTGTACTTCATGTATTTCTATTTGCTTTGTAGTTGTATTAGTAGTAGCTAATTTTGGAATAATGATGCAAGGAACAAACAAGTTTAGTATCATTGATAGAAGAGTTAAAGCTAGCGTCAAGTATTTTGATGTTCCAGCGATTAAAAATAAGGCATGTCCTAATGGTATTGATGCTGTTTGGTTATGGGTTAATGGAAGTGATCCTGTTTTCCGTAAGGCTCTTGAGGAAAATGGAAGAAAAGGAGGTGCAGGAAGATATAGAGATTACAATACATTACAATACTCTATACGTTCTGTATATAATTTTGCACCATATATTAAGAATTATTATATTGTTACAATGGGACAAATTCCTGATTTCTTAAATACTTCATCTCTTACTTTTAGAGACTACAAATTACGAATAGTTGACCATAAAGAAATATTCCCTAATAATAAAGATTTGCCAGTATTTAACTCAAACGCACTAGAAGTATCAATTCATAATATCAAAAATTTATCATCATGTTTTCTTTATTTAAATGATGATATGTTATTAGGCAAAAAACTTAAACCAGAACATTTCTGCAGAAAAGATGGAAAAATTAATGTTTATCATAATGGATGGAATGCTCCAGAAGAAGAAAAAATGAAACAAAATTTATGGCATAAAAGTGTTGGAACATCAAATCAATTGGTCAATGATAAATTTCACAATGGAGAAGTTGTTAAACATCCATATGTTAGTCATCATTGTTATTTCTTCAAAACTGATACATTAAAAGAAATGGAAGAGAAGTGGCAAAATCAGTATAAACAAACACGAACTCATAAATTCAGACTTGGAAATGATTTAGCAATTCCATTTTTACATGGGGCATACTCAGTTGAAAGTAACAAAGGTGTTTATGTAAGAGAGAAATGGTATTATTATGGTCTTGTTGATAATAATAGAACAAACAACCTCAAAATTATTAATGGAATTAAGAAAAAGAAACCACAATGTATTTGTTTAAATGATGGTTTGGATGAGAAAGATGAAACTAATATGAGTAGTGCTATTGATAGAATGACATTATTTTTAGAAACATTAATTCCAAACCCAGCTCCATTCGAAAAGTTATACGGAAATTAATTACTTTTTTGTTTATTTAAAGTTAGACATCGGATTTGAAATGGTTTTAAAAACATCTTTTTTCTCATTTAAAATTATTTGAAACGAAATTAATTTCTTTTTAATTCAAAAATTACCTTTTTTCATTAATAATTTTCATCATTGAAGTCTTCTTCATAATATTCATTCTTATCGTCATAAACACCAACACTTCTCATAAAAAAATTTCTAAATTTATTCATTTTTTTCCTTCTGAAATACTGATGTTGAGTTGATAAACTTTTCAAAGAAATTTCTTGTTTGTTAACAATCAAATGAACATCAATATTTTCTAAATAATTTACTTTTTCTAAAAATACGGTTGATTTTAATTGAATGTTTCAATATTTTTTCTCGCTATTTCATAAAATTCAAGTTATTTGAAACACTCTTTCATTGTATATATATCATAAATTCATTTTCATTAAAATATTGTAGCTGTCTAGTCTTATAGTCATAACCCACTGGAATTACATTAAGATATATTGTAATATTTTTTTATTGTTATAGAATCAATAACCCATTCATATGTATCAGGAATATTATCACAGTAAACACTATTGTAAAACTCAAATGATGTAATATAAAAATTATCAATTAAAATAGATTTTCCTAAATAATTAAAAATTGAATAATTATTAATAGATTTGATCATTCTTTAAATATTCTTATCAGTGTGTATTGTTAAATTCCTATATGAAATACAATTTATTAATTTAATTTCAATATTCGGTATTCTTAGTTTAATAGTTAAATTATTAATAGGTGCATTAACACTAACATCTATTCCATTCACATTCTCTTCTATTGTCATAGCATGACGTAATGGGTAAATAACATTTCTTAATATAGCTTTGCCCTTTTTATTTTTGTTGATACATATATTATTCCATTATTCTGTCATTTTTCAAAAATAATTTCGTCAAAATCAGCATTTATTCTCACATCATTAATAATAGAAAGGTTCTTACAAAACACTTGTATCATTTTCAATATCGAATTTATGTATACAACATTTATTGTATTTCTATTCTTTTTCGTTCACTTTCAATTAATCAAGTTTGAATCATTTCAATTGCTATGATTTGTTTTGGTGTGAAACTATGGTTTCCACAAAGTGCATTTTGATACTCCTTCATATTCAAACGAATATTGAATATAATATGATATTGTCTTATATTTTCTTTAAAAACAAAAAATCACCATCTCCATTTCCAAATTTAAACAAACAATCAAATGATTGATTAAATAAACAAAATGCATATTCTGGTTCTTTAATATCAAATTTCATCATTCCTTCTATTCTTCCATTTGATACTAATGAAAATACAAATGATTTTGAATCATATATATAATTACCATAAATTTTATCAATTTTCTCATTAACATATCCTCCAAATTTATTTCCTTCTGAATCTTCAATAATAATTATTATATATTCTTTATACATTATTCTTTGTTTAAATACCGATGTATTTCTATTCCAATTATCAATATATGAATCAAATATAATATTTCCTACTTTTCTATTTGTCCATTCTTATATTTATTGGTTTGGAATTATTTCATAGTCATTATATTTCACTTTTTTATGTATAAAACAAAATTCTTTATCACTCATTAATGTAGTGTTTCTTTCATTCAAGACTATGTCTCTTGATTTGTTTAAGAAACTTATTTGTTTTTCAAAAGAACCAAACATTCTGTTATCATTTCTTCTTCAACCAATCCTCTAATTAATTATATTCATGACTTAGTTTTTGAGTATTTTCAAAAATATCTTCTATCATTAAATGATGAAAAAGTATGTTTATAGTATTTGTTTTAATTTTATTTTTATGTTCTTTAATTCTCATGTTAATATTTTTCATTTACTTGTTTTGACTGTTCTTTCTCTTCTCTTATCTGTTCAACAATCATTGTTTAAAGTAAATTCATTTCATTTTTCATTTATTTTGAAAATTCATCCTTTGAATATAACGTTATCACAGATATTTCAATTATATTCATTTTGTTTTGGAGTTGATTAAGTTGTTGATTGAAGTTGTCTAGTTGTTTGATGAATTTTCCAATGTGTTTGTTAAGATAAATAAACATTAATGTCTCTATTTTATGTGAAAATATTCTGAAATTCATATTGTCAAAACGTTCGAGCGTATTTGAAACATTATCAATTTGTTGATAAAGAATTATGTATAGAATAATAAGAAATAAACATTTTAAACTGGATTTGATTAGTTGTTTTTATCCATTCATAATTGTTTTAATTGTTTTTTTTTGTTTAACAGTTACGAATTAATAGAAAATAACGTTATTGTTGAAGAAAATAATAAAATTAAATCAGATTCAATTTATTTAATTTATTATTCAATTAACAATTATTTGATTATGAACTAAATAATAATTAAATAATATTAACTATGAATGAGTTGTATTTAATGCTTCTCTTCATTATTTATTCATTCTTTTTGTATTATTTTTCAATGTTAATTTTATTTCTTCTTTATTTATGTTTGAATATGTATATCAAATGAATTAAATATTACATTATATTTTAATATATTTTATTTGTGTATTTTCATATTCAATTCTTTTATTTGAAAGAAGATAGTACTTCTGAAATACTACATAAACACTAATACAATTCAAACTTCTACTCTTCCAGTTATTATTTTGTTATGACTTTTAAATAAGAAATGTATTATGTAATGTTTCAAAGAGTGTATGAATTAATTGCAGTGGAATATTACATGTTATAATATAAGAAATGATAAATATCAACAAAGAAAATAAGAAAAAATATAATAACATAGGAAATGAATTTATAAATTATGAATTAAGACTAAAATGAAGTAGATATAATAATGTAGTGGTAATGAAATTCTCTATTATTCATAAAATAAGTAAAAAGAGGAAATGAAATTCTTTAAAATTAAGGCAGAAATCAAACAAACAAAGAAGTGAAATTCTCATACTCATAGAAAAACCTAGAGAATGTATTAAACAATGAAAGTACTGTTTACAAACAAGTTGATGAATGTATTAATTTTTCTCTGAAGAAAGAAGAATAGATGAAAATTCTATTAACATTTAACTACCTAATTTTTACTTATTTTATTATTTAGTTTTTCTTTTTGTTTGATGAATAAATCATTTTATTTTATTTCTTTATATTATTGTCTTTTTATTCTTCTTTTTAATTTCTTCTTTGGTTGTTATTTGAACTTTAATGAATTTTATCTTTATTTTCTTATTTTATGTTGAATGAATATTTCATTATCATTATATTATTATGTATAATTTCATTTATAATTAACATAATCATTTATATCTTTTTCTTTTCTTATTATTCTTTCATATTACATTATTTCATTCTTTGTAATGTTAATTAGTATATTTCTTATTTAATTACTTCATCATAATCAAATAATAATTGATATTTCATTATTTGATTATTATATTTTTGTATTAATGTTTGTGTGTGTTTCTGATTTTCATTCTTCATTTCTCCCACTATTTACAATTTTTATAAAATAATCATTTAAAAAAAAAACAACATTGTTTATGTTAAAGATGAAAAAGTAAATTTACAGTTTATTAGAATATAAAACCTATAAAATGGATAGTATTATATCTTGAATCAATAGAGTATTAAATTTTAAAAAAAATTTAAAACAAATAATAAATTGGTTATTAAAATAAATACATAAAATAAATATTAATACTCTCATAATTTATTTCTTCTTTTAACATTATCTGAACAACGTCAGATTTTCATTTAATATAAATTAATTAAAAAAAGTATTGTTGTGTCTTATCAAAGTAGTATAATAAAATTAAATGAATAAATTAGTTATCATTTACAATAAAATAACATCTAAGTTATTTTATTTTTAATATTCCTATGTTTTAAGAATTATTTGAATAATCAATCTAACTTTTTTTTGAATGATAAATATGAAAATAAAAATTTTAAATCTGTTTTGATTGAATTGAAAATTAAATAAATCGTCTTAAAACAAATATTAAATACTCATACACTCAAATATAAAACAAATAACTAGTAATATTAAGAAGTATAAATTACAAAATGAATAAATTACAATGAGATTATGTTTTGAAGATGATTCTTTATTAAATGTAAATGAAGTAAATAAAAAAATTAAAAAAAAAATCAATACCAATCACTTATCTCTTACCTCCTTTCTTATGATTACCACCATTTTTTTGTTTTCTCATTTCTGTTTTCTTCTTTCCAAACATAACTTTACCATTAGTAATTTTCTTATCATCTAATTTATTAAATCTTCCTTGTTTGGCAAGTGCTTTATCTCTGAAACGTGCTTTCTTCTTTTCTTTTTTAGCTTTAAGTCGTTGAATAGCATCTTCTCTTCTTTTTTGTTTTTTCATTTTATTTTCTTCTTTTTGCATTTCAAGGTTCTTCTTTCGTTGTTCAACTGCTTCAATTTTCTTTTGAATCTTCATCAATTCAGGTCTTATTCGTTCCATATGTTCATCTGATTTAAGCATTTCTGCATAATAATCAACTGGTCGTTTATGTGGATATTTGTTAGCATTGAAATACTTTCTTGCTTGTATAACTGATTTAATTGCTTGTTGATAAAAAACTAACTCACGTTCATAGTCATTATCGATATTTTGTACTTCAGTAACATCTTCATTTGTTAATCGTAAATTTTTTTCAAATTCTTCAGGAGTTTTACCATCTTCAGTAACTATTTCTTTACACATTTGATTTAACGCTTGGACCATTTCTGGAGTATTTTCCAATTTGACAACTTCAACTTCGGTCATACAATATGATAATCTAATTCTTGTTTTTTTTTTCTTTTTTAAACCCTTTTTTCTTTTTTCTTTTCTTGTTTTATACAACAAAATATTTATAACAATAGGAATATTCCTGATAATTCATTGTAAATAAAAAACAATATGAATTTAATCTAATAAAGATTCTAGTAATAACTAAAACTGTCAGCCTCAAGACAAATGAATATATTACTGATTATTTTTCTTTTTCAATGTTATGGATTATATGACTTTCTTGATAACATTTTTTCTATTTACAAAACTCGTTTTGAAGTTTGTTCAATCTTCTATACTTAGAAATTTCTTCACTTATTATGTAGAACAGAAATAAAATTAGAGTTAGTTGTTCCTCTTCATGTGTATTTGACATTCATGGATTTTATCAAACTGAAGAATACCAACCATTTCCATTATCATATCTAGGAGGACCTTATCCATTACAACATCCATATTATTGTGGAATATCATGTTATTTGAAAAGTTATAATTCACCAATGGTACATTATTCTAGTTATCCAACACAATATGATAATGATGATATTTGTTGGTCTAAAGAACTTCCCAATTACTTTTTAAGGATTTATCCAAAACCATTATTCATTTCAATTCATCATTCAAACACAGCAATATTTTATCCTGGGTTTCAAACAATACAATATTATAATCCACAAGACTTTGAATATTCTAGAGGAATTGAATTTGGTAAATCCACATTCTTTATATTTTATGATGTCTCAAGTTCTAATAGGAATTTTAAAGAAAAGCGAAATGGAGTATCACTTCTTATTAATTCTATCAGTCCACTACAACAAGTTCGTTTAGTTATTTTTAATAATGAAGCCAGAGTATTACAAGGATTTATGGATATTACTCATAGTTCAATCTATAGAATGTCTGATAATGTTTGTCAATTTACTACATATGGAGGAACAAAACCAAAAGAACCTTTTTTATTAATGAGAGATTATATTTTAGAATATAATTTAACAGGAAATGATGCACATATTATCTTTATTAGTGACATGAAAGTATATCAATCAAAGAAAACATTACATGAATCTATTAGTTTATTAAGAAATCGAGTGAGACAACATTTTAATAGTTTTCAATTACATATGTTAGACTCTTCTGAAGATAATATGGGAAGAAGTGATTGGATGAAAGAATTTGCTTGTGAATTTGATGGACATTATCTTCAATATCGAGGAAATAAAGAACAAATAATCCAAACAATGCAAAAATTCATTCATATATTAAAATATAGAATGAATGCTCTTCCAGTTGGAACACAATTTCCATTTGTAAAATTAAGAGATGTTGATTATGGTACTTTTTATCCAAGTGGTGTTGCTATAGTTAAACCATATTATGTAGATGTTCATTTAATTGATACTCTCTTTCCTCTACGTCATGCATGGACATTTACAGCTGTATTTTTACCAGGAGCAATTCCTCGTTCATATATAGGAGATGGAGATCCTAATTATTATCCATCTCCTACCATTGATAGAGTAAGAAAGTATGTTTTAGATACTAAAATTGGATATCAATGTGATTCGTTCAATGAGTTTAATAGTGAAGAACAAAAATTAATTGTTGATAGTCTTAATGGATTTGATTATGATTGGAGATCAAAAACAGAAATAAAATTTTGTCCATATAATCGTTTGATTAATGAATCAGATAGAACAAACCAAACTTATTTTTGTTATCAAACACCAACATGTCCTAATATTGACTCTTTTTCAAAACAAGAATATAATTTTCAAATTCAAAAAACTTGTTCATCTGAAATGTCATCAATGCTTCTTGTGTTGTGTATTTTATTCTTTTTTTACTAATTGAATAGTTTTTTGTTAAAAAAAAACTTTTATTTACAATAAGATGAGTCAAATACAAATTACCTCATCACCAACAGTAGTAAATTTTTCTCCATCAACACTTTCACAAGGAATTGAATATAGTACTACTGACTTTAGTACTAACACTATTGAAGACTCAACTTGGACCCAATCAAATATGCAAAAAATATGGGATGCATCTGATCCATGGATTAGTCAAATCCTTTCCCTTCAACAAACAAATAACCAAAACCAAACACAACAAGTGACTTCACAACCACAACAATCATTTCAAAATATCCAACAAATATATACCCAACAACAACCAAATTTAGTTAACAAACAGTTAATTCAAATGGCAACACATCAAATGATTATTGATCATATTAACCAACAAAATGAAATCATTTTTGAAAATGAGTTGATAAAAGTATTTGACCATATTAAAAATTCAACAAAAGATATAGAATTGATTAAATACAAATGCAAAGAATTAGTTAGTTCTATATACCTTCAAAATAACCCAAACCTTAATCAGAATAAAGTTGTCAAAATGATTCATGATTATGCTTTTAGTCAAACAACATCAGAACAGTCTTATTATGATAAGGTTGGAATTAAAAATGAAATAAAACAAGAAGATTTAATAGATGATCAACTGATAAACGAACAAAAAAAAATTGAGGAAGAACAAAATAAACAGCAAAGTCATGAACAAAATGAAAGTAGTAAAAATGAAAATAATTATTCATTAATTGATGGATGTGATTATCCTTTTGTATATGAAAATCCTTATTTAAGTGATAAACAATTAGATAATAAGATTCATGAATTGGACATAATTGATAAATCAGAACATATTTTAATTCTTGAAGCATCTTTACAAAGAAATAAAGACCAAAAAGAATTATGGATTCAACTTGCTATTGAATTAAATTATGAAGAACGAGATGATATTGCAATAAAAGCATTGAAAGAAGCAGAAAAATGTACAGATAATCTTAGTGATGAAATGAAAGAAATGTATTATGAAAATTCTTTATCTATATTATTTAACACTGATAATAAAGAACTTATCTTGTCTAATATTCAAAAAAAGTATCAACTAACTACTACTTTTTTACAAAAAGAATCTATTGAACAAAAAGGATATAAAATCCTTCAAGAAGTTGAATCTATTAATAATAGTCAATGTTTATATGATAAAGCTATATTGAATTTAATTATTGGAGATGGAGAAGCTGCTGCACATTATTTTGAACAATTCTGGGAAATAAAAGGGAGTATAGAGTGGAATAGAATTGGAGTTGCTTATGAACTATCATTTAAACATCAAGAAGCAATTAATTGTTTTTTGAATGCACTAGAAATTGATCAACAAAATGCACGTATACATAATAATTTAGGATTATCATACCAAGCATTAAATATGTGGACAGAAGCAGTAGAACATTATTGTGAGTCTTTACTAATTGCAGAAGGAAATGACACATGGGACCTTCTATATGTAGCATTACTTATGTGTGGATATGATGACTTAGCTGAGAGATGTAAAGAGGAGAACAGAGATTCCATGGTAATATCTGATGTGTTTGATACGATAACACATTAATTGAATGAACCAAAATATTTAAATTTAAAAAATGTTCAAATTAAGCAACAACAGAAAAACGAGTTGGGATTGGATCATTAGTACATTTGTCTTGAATTGATCTTAAATATGTTTGAGAAACAGGTTCAGGATCCATTTCATCAGTATGGAAATTAGATAATAATTGATAAATGATATTTACTGACAATGATGGGAACGTTGTTTCCAAGTCATTTACAGCAATAACATGATGTAATATAAAGACATTAGCAATATCAGTGACTACATTCATTTGAGAATATTGATCTTTAATTGTTTGAAAATGTTTATCAGAACTATACATATCCATATATGACATAACATATTTTATTTGAAATCCTTTACTACAACAAATTTTTTCTGGTTGAGTGAATAAAGTATCTAATACATAATAAGCAAGAAAATGATATAATTGTTTAATTGTTAAGGAAATAACTTCTTCTTCAATTCCTTTCTCTTCTATTACATCATAAATATGTTTAATCATTTCCATTATTTTAAAAGCATTAACTTGTTCAATATCATTTGTATTATTTTCAAACACACTTCTATTACTAAATATACATGAATCTATTAAAGGAGTAATATCTTTTCCAACACTTTCAACATATTTTGATATAATAAACTTTCTTGAATCTTCTTCTGTATATTTATTTAACATTTCAATCATTTGTTCATTACTGACAGTTTCTTCAAATACTTTTTTAACTTCTTCTATTTCTTTTGGTTTTTCTTCTTTAACAATTTCTTGTTCTTCATTTTGAATTGGTTGTATCTGAGCTGTTTCAATTCCTTCAATTATTTCATCTTTCTCTTCAGTTTTTGGTAGTGTCGTTTCTTTAGGTGGTAACTCATCTAAAAACTCTGGTTCTTCATTCTTAACTGACTCATCTCTTTCTTTCATTTGTTTTTGTCTTAATTCTTCTTCTTCTTTTTCTTCCCTAGCTTTCATTTGTTGAATTAATGAAGCATGAATTGGATCTGGTCCTTGATTTGTTGAGTATTCTTCTTCACTGTCTAATACAAAACATTCAGTATTTTCAGAATTTCCAGTTGAAACTCCTTGGGTACTTGTAATAGAAATCAGTAACTTAGCTTTTAAAGTTTTTCCTTTTGCTCTCATTTCACATATAACATTTTCTGTTTTCCCATCTAAATCAGCAAATTGAGCTAAATCAATAACACCAGAACAAATCTTTTTTCCATTTATATTTTCTAAAATAAATTGAACTAACTTTTCTTCATAATACCCAGCTTTAGCTTTTTCAAATAAAGTACAATGAAGACTAATAGTAGCACCAGTCACATCTGTTTTTGAGTCTGTTATTTGTATTGGATTAAACTTTCCTTTATTACTTTCTTTTTTACCTCTTCTCCATCTTAATATTACTTCTTTTGAACTACCAGTAAAATCACAAATCTTATCAACACTAATAACATAGTCTTGTTTACATTTTTTCTTAAACATATTGAAAGCCATTAATAGACAGTGATTAGAATGAAATAATTAGTCCAATCACTTTTGTATGACACGTGTCCTATTTTAACACTTTATTTAGTTAGTGGATTATAGTTTTATTTATTATTTTTTTAATAGTTTCTTCTACTTTTCCATTTTTAGAATAATTAAAAAACAAAAATGTTTGGATTGTCTCAAATTATCTTAGCTTTTAAGGAGAAAAGAAAAACAAAAAATAATAAAAAGAAAAACTTAATTGATTATTCTAAATGAAAAGAAGTGAAGCACCAACTGATTCATCTCCTTTTCATCTTCCTGAAACCCAACCAAAAAAAGAGAATACAAGTGAAGGTCCAAAAGAAGAAGAAAAAAAAGAAAGAATTAAAAAATTTAAAGTTGCAGTAATATTTTCATATGTTGGAAGAGGTTATTTTGGGTTAATGTATTTAAATAACAATCCTAAAACTATTGAAGGTGAAATTGAAAATGCAATGTATAAAGCTAAATGTATTTCTGAAGATAATAAACATGATTTAAAGAAAGTTGGTTGGTCTCGTTGTGCAAGAACTGATAAAGGTGTTTCAGCAGCAAATAATTTAATTTCATTAAAAATGGGACTTGATGGAAATTACATTGAAAGAATTAATTCTTTTTTACCAGAGACTATTCGTATTCAAGATGTTGTAAAAGTTAGTCATTCATTTAATGCTAAAACTCGAGTCGATTCTCGTACATACGAATATATTTTTCCTTCTTATGCGATTCAAAAAATTGATAGTGAACATCCAGAAATTAATGTAGAATATAATCCACAACAAGAAGATATTGACTATTTTAATTCTGTGATTAGTAATTATGTTAAAACTCATAACTTTCAAAATTATACTTTTAATACTAAAGAAACTAAAGCTGACAGTAAATCTAACAACAGATATATTATTTCTATGTCTGCTCAATTGGTTCAAAGAAATGGACTTAATGTTATTGCAGTTTCAATTCATGGACAAAGTTTTATGTTATGGCAAATTAGAAGAATGATTGGATTTGCTATTGTATTAACAAATTTTAGACTTCCAATTGAACAAATGAATGAAATTATGAAAACATCATTTACATTAATTAATTGGCGTTCAGTTATTCCAACAGCTCCAGCCCATGGACTTTTCCTTGATCAATGTCATTTTGGAAATCATAATGAACGTCTTCAAAGAGACACTTCAAATAATTCAAAAACAAACATTAATAGTGAAGAAACTCTCAAAAAATGTATGGAATTTAAAGAGAAATATATTTGGAATGATATTATTAATTTTGAAAAAGAAGAACAACCATTTGCTAAATACATGAAAGAACAGGTTAATTATACTAAAATTTATGATGTGTTAACTGGAAAAGTAACATTAGAATATTATAACTCTATTCATAAACCTTCAATACAAACACTTTCACCTGACGAAGAACAAGAAGAAAATTAATTTAATTATTATTAATTTAATAATATAAGGTTCTTTATATAAAAAGATAGTATAAAAAAGTATGAAATCAATAACAGCAACTTAATTTAATTAGCATCATTACCAGCATGATTATTCTTTCTCTTTCTTCTTCCATTAATTTCTGGATTAGTTAATGGTGTATTATCAGCTAATTGAATGAGTGGTTCAGATTCAACTCTAACAAGGAAGGATGGAACGTCAACAACTTGTTTACCAACTTTAATCATTTTTCCTCTAATAAGAACTCTAGCATGATGAATGGATTTAGCAAATCCTTTTCTGTAAACAAGAGTTTGAAGTCTTCTTTCAAGAAGATTTTCTTCTTTAAGGGCAAGAACAAATTCCAACTTGTTTTGGTCTCTTGGGAGAATACCAAGGTTGTGAAGTCTTCTAAGAAGAGCTGCACCTTCAAGAAGTCTCTTTGGATCTTTAGCATCTTTCATTAACATAACTTTAGCAATAGTTCTCATATGTCCAAGCATATAGTGAACACGTTGAATTTCCTTTTTATTTTTCAATCCAAATTGACCAACAAGTTTAAGTTCTGCATCAAATCTTTCTCTTTCGTATGGTACCTTTGGTGTTTTGTAAGTGATACTATGATTTCTTAAACAACGTCCCATTGCTGTTGTTCTTAGTACTTTTTCAAGATTTCTCAACGGCTAGGGTTTAATACTATTTTCTTTAATTTAATTTATTATTTTTTACTATAATTGGAAAAAAAATTTAGAATAAAATAACATTTTATTATTTAATAAAATTAATATCATTAATTTTTATGTTATTGAAAGAACTTTCTTGAAAGAACTTAAAAAGAAACCAAGAAAATGGCAGAAGAAACCATTGCAATAGATGTAGAAGATAAACCAATTAGAATATTGACATATAATATGTATCTTAGACCAATGTTAATATCAGCAGCTGGACATGATCATAAAGATTCGAGATTGAAAGTATTTTGTAAAGAACGATTAAAAGATTTTGACATCATTTGTTTTCAAGAAGTCTTTAAGGAATTAAATTGGAGAAGAGAAAAATTATTAAAAAAAGCTAAAAAAGCTGGTTTTAAGTATCGAATTCAAACAGAAAAACCTTTGTTTCCACTCTTCCTTTGTGATGCTGGATTAATTATTATAAGTAGATTTCCTATTGTAGAGAATCAATTCAAACTATATAAAAGAAGTATTTATGCTGATGCTGTTGCTTCTAAAGGTGTGCTTTATGCAAAAATTGAAATACAGTCTAATAAGTATTTACATGTATTTAATACACATACACAAGCAGATTATACTTTAGACCCAGAGAAAGCCAAACCCTCAAGAGATGTAAGGTTAAGTCAAATCAGGAAATATGCTAAATTTGTTCAAAAGAAATGTAATAATGATACATTTCCTGTGATTTGCTGTGGTGATTTTAATGTAAATGGAAGGGCTGGAACTGATGGAACAACAGAAAGTCCAGAATATACAGAATTTCTTCAAAACTTTCATTTTGATAGTGGAGAACTTATTGACTTACTTCTTAGAGATAATCATGGCATTCAACCAGTAACTTTTGGTGATTCATTTATTGATGAGAATGGTACTGAAACACCATGTGATACAGAAATTACTTATGAAGTATCATGTATGGATAAATCACGATTAGATTATATGTTTCATTGGAAAAAACCAAATGAAAATCCAGTTATTACTTGTAAGAATTGTCGTGTAGATAAATTTCAGGTAAGTGGGAAAAAATATCCATTTATGTCAGACCATTTTGGTGTAACATGTGATATATTTCTTTGATTTATACATCATAATTAGTATTGTTATTAACATAATGAAAAGGGTTTTTATTTTTGTTAATTTTTATTAATTTTTTTTTATTTCATTGTTTATATGTACAAGAAACAATTAGAGTCAATTTTCATTCAATGTCTTCTTGGTTATTTTCCTAAAGAAATATCTCTTATTGATTTTATTTGTGTCTCAAAGAGAATATATCAAAGTGTTATTAATTATAAATTAGAATATAGATGGTTTAATCAATTATCAGAAAAACAAAAACTTCTTTTTAGTGGGATAAAAGAGAAAGTTATTGATATATCAAAATTAAATGAAAATGATATTAAATATTCTACACTTATTTTAAATTGTGAAGATTCATCAAAGAAGATAAGAGAGCCTTTTGCTTCTCATGTATCTGAAATTTATATTACATCAATTTCACAAATTAATTTTAATGAGCTTCCATTACTTTCAAAAGTTAATATACTTCTTTCTTATTCAATACCCAAAAATTTAAAAAACGTATCATTACCTAAACACATATTATTTGTTATTCATGCTAAAAAATTTAAACCAATTTATGAACTTGTTAAATCAAATCCACAAACCACATTTATTGGTTATGTTTTTGAAATTTCACAAAATGATATTACACTTATGAACGAATTATCAAATATTAAAATTTTGTTTCAGCATTGGGAATCATTATTTCCATGGCCTAGTCTTGATGTATCACGATTCATTTATACTGGAATTAAATTCTATTTAGAAGATAATATTCCTGAGTCTTTCACCAAATTTATTATTAAACGTGGGTTAATTGAAACATTCATACGTAGAAAAGGAGGTTCTTCAAAAGTATTTCTTGATTTACAAAGATCATTATTAGAAGGTATAAACATAGATAATGTTGGTTCACCTTTAATGGTATATGTTCCAAAATCACTTGAAATAATTTCTTCAGAATCGCTAGTAAATATTGACATTCAAGGGATGAGATTATGCACTCATATGACTTCATTAAATTTAACCCATTTAAAAACTACAAATTTTCCTACATCTATTCAAAGTTTAGAATTAAGGATAAATACTAACATTGAGGAGTTGAATCTTAGAGAGTTTAGACAACTTAAAGATGTGACTCTAGATAGTTATAAGAAATTAGTTATATTAAAATTACCACAATTAACATTACATTCACTTAATTTAACAAATTGTCAAAGACTAAAAAGTATAGACGGTAATAAGATATGTTCTATATCAGTTTGCCAATGTCAACAACTAAAAGAATTTAAAGTTAGTTATTCTAAACTTTTGCTCAGTTCATTCTCTAAACCAATAAAATTCATTATTTCTACTCAAGTACAAAACTTAATTCTAGAGAATGTAATTGAATTGTTTTCTCGTCAAATTCCTTTCAAAGTACAAAGAATTGAATTAAAGTCAGAACCAAGTGAAGAACTAATTTGTTCATTAATGAAATTAGAAGTTAATACTTTAGTTTTATCAAATTATCACTATGGATTAGAACAATTAAAAGTTAATCAAGTTATATCTGTTTCAGATGGTGTTGATAATTTTAATTTCAAATATCCATCTGAAGTAATTATTTCACCTCATCATTCTATAGAATTAGAAACAATCTCTATTGGAAAAGAATCAGCTGTTCAACTACTTGTAATAAACAAAGCTAAAGTAGAAGAACTTATTCTAACTGATTCGCATGTACGTTGTTTACGTCTTGAATCTAGTACTATTGTTCATTTTATTCAATCACCAATGCTTGAAAAAATAGTTAAGTTAAATTCAACAATTGTTAATGGAAGAAGTCTTGAAGGGATTGTTCAAGAAATTTATGAAGACAATGACCAAAAGAAAGAAGAGTCAAGTGATTCATCTAGTTTTTATTTTATGTTTTTTATAACAAAAATAGTAAACAACGGCGAAGTGAACTTTTAATTCAAAGGGTGAATGAGTGCATTGAAGATATTAAATCAAAATAGCGAGGCAAGTAGACGTGATCAATCTCTTATGATGAATATGCATGCAGCAAGATCGTTAGAGGCAATATTAAAAACAAACTTAGGACCAAAAGGAACATTGAAGATGTTAGTTAGTGGTTCAGGTGGAATTAAGTTGACTAAAGATGGCAGGGTATTACTTAATGAAATGGTTTGGTTATTTCTTCTTTTCTTTTTATTGATCTACTTACATTATAGCATATTCAACATCCAACTGCAAATCTTATTGCACGTGCTGCTACATCACAAGATGATATTGTTGGAGATGGAACTACATCTACTGTATTGTTGTGTGGTGAAATTATGAAACTATGTGAACCATATTTAAATGAAGGAATTCATCCAAGATTGTTAGTTGAAGGGATTGAATTAGCAAGACAACATTTATTTGATTATTTACCAAAAGTTGTAAAGAAGATTGATTGTAATGATCAATTAGTTCTTGAACATGCAGTAAAAAGTGTTATTGGAACAAAAATTACTATAGACTTTGTAGATCAATTATCAAAAATGATTGTTGATGCAGTAAAACTTATTAAAATTGATAATACCATTGATTTGTTTATGGTAGAAATCCAAAGTATGAAACATAAATTTGCAACAAATACAGAACTTATTAAAGGATTAGTCATGGATCATGGAACTCGACATCCAGGAATGCCTCATGATATAAGAAAATGTATTTGTATTAACATGTA